TTAGACACACTATGTATGCCCCCCCCCCCCCAAATGAAACATTCCTGTAAAACTAAATTTATCACTTCATTATAGTTGTGAATTACGATATTGGTGATTAAGTACTGAATAGATCCAACGAATTTGATACATAGGAAAAATTAGAAAAAAAAATCTTTTTGGAAGATTTACAGTTTTGATATCTGATGGTTTATGAAAACATTGTATGGAAAATTAAACGTAGAGCACTTAATTATACATAATTAAACAGGCGTACCTCCCTCATGTTTGCTCTATCAAAATGGCCACACTTTATACATGGGGGTTCTTTTAAATTGTTTTTAAAAATCTTTATTTTGTTTCTTTACGAATTTGCTTCATGTCATAATTTCATGAAATTTTCATTTTATTACTTATTTCCCTTTATCAAGCTGTGAAACACAATACACCCTAGGAGAAATTCCATTGTATTAGATTTCGTGTTTATATAAAACCGGTGGGGCGTGTTACCACCAATTGAGATGTAATTGTGTTAGTTGAGTTTGGCGCTAATCATTTGCCCATTATAATTCTGTTGGGAATATTTTACTCGTGAGGTAGTGATTTAACAGCCCAGCCTATAGTCAAATGAAGTATCAACAATGTAGTTTCGTATAACCTTTTAGTGATATTTTAATGATATACAATAGCCAAAGTTACAATGAAAAAGGAATCTGGATCTTTTGTGCGTTTGCCCAAGAGATATCACTTGAATTCATTTTTTCTTCGGGATTTATATGAATATAATCATTTCTTATCTAATCGAGGCAATATTCAATAAATATGACCATATTACATAGAACTCATCAATATAAAACCCCTTACATATTTATATTAGCACGCCTCAGTTTTTCTTAACCTCCTATTTTTTATAATTACACTATAAATGGTCTTTGCCTAAGCCCTTAACAATGTGAGATTATAGAACTAGCTTAAACAATGTCAGGTAACAGAACTAGGTCAAACAAAATCAGATTACAGAGCTAAGTTAAACACTGTCAGATTACAGAACTAGGTCAAACAATATCAGATTACAGAGCTAAGTTAAACACTGTCAGATTACAGAACTAGGTTAAACAATGTCAGGTTACAGGCTAGGTTAAACAATGTCAGGTTACAGAACTAGGTTAAACAATGTCAAGTTCAGAACTTGGTCAAACAATGTCAGGTTCCACAACTAGGTTAAACAATGTCAGGTTACAGGCTAGGTTAAAAACTGCCAAGTTACATAACTAGGTTAAACACTGTAAGTTAACAGAACTAGGTTAAACAATGTCAGATTACTGAGCTAAGTTAAACAATGACAGATTACACAATTATGTCAAACAAGGTCAGGTTACAGAACTAGGTCAAACACTGTCAGATTACAGAGATAAGTTTAACACTGTAAGGTTACAGAACTAGGTTAAACACTGTCAGGTTCAGAACTTGGTCAAACAATGTCAGGTTCCACAACTAGGTCAAACACTGTCAGATTACACAACCAGGTAAACAATGTCAGGTTACAGGCTAGGTTAAATACTGTCAGGTTACATAACTCAGTTAAACAATGTCAGATTACAGAACTAGGTTAAATACTGTCAGGTTACATAACTAGTTTAAACACTGTCAAATTACAGAACTAAGTGAAACAATGTCAGGTCACGGAACGAGATTAAATACTGCCAGAGTACACAACCAGGTTAAACATTGTCAGGTTACAGGCTAGGTTAAATACTGTCAAGTTACATAACTCAGTTAAACAATGTCAGATTACAGAACTAGGTTAAATACTGTCAGGTTACATAACTAGGTTAAACAATGTCAGATTACAGAACCAGGTAAAACACAGTCAGGTAACAACTAAGTTTAAAATGTCAGGTTACAGAACGAACTAGGTTAAACAATGTCAGGTTACAGAGATAAGTTTTTCACTGTCAGGTTACAGAGCTAAGTTTAACACTGTCAGGTGACAGAGCTAAGTTTAACACTGTCAGGTTACAGAGATAAGTTTTACACTGTCAGGTTACAGAGCTAAGTTTTACACTGCCATGTTACATAACTAGGTTTAACACTGTCAGGTTACAGAGCTAAGTTGGACACTGCCATGTTACATAACCAGGTTTAACACTGCCATGTTACAGAGCTAGGATACATACTGTCATATAACATACATATGTAAACTTCGGTTATCATCATAAGATAACTCGCTATGGCTGTATGTTATCGATACAGAATCTGGCGACAGGAGCCAATCACAAACGGCAGAAATATTAAACACACGATTGTTTCTAGAATATTATAACCTAGACTTGATTTGTTAGGCTTGTTTTCGTACATGTACAGGACCGTGGCAATAAGCATCCATTGCCTACTCAATCCTTCTTCCAAGAACGTTATAATTTAGTTTCATCAATTTGCAAACACCATATTCAAACTGGCCGGAAAGCAAACATTATTCCATCAGAATCCTAACTCAATCTCACTCACACAATGTGTTACC